TTTTACTTCTTTATTTCTCTATGATTTAAAATTCCAGGTTTCTAAGTCACTTCGAATCCCTCATGGATCCAACTGCATAACAGCTCTGGAATTTAAACTTCAGGCCTCCTGCTGTTTGCTTCACAAAGTCGACAGAAGCGGCCTTCAACGCTGACAGTGTTTGAATTTGATCATTTCAGCATCTGACATTTAAAAAAAAATAAAAAAAAGTCTTATAATAATTCAGTACACTCAGTAAAATATGATGTTTTGAAGTGATAAAAATGTCAAAAATCACACTAAACACTTTGTCAGTCACTTTTATTTTGTGAAGGAGTCGTGTCTGTATCTTCAACAGATAATCCAAGGTACATCATCCCTCCACAACGGCTAAAAGACGAGAATATATATATGACAAGATATTAGAAATCCTTAACGAAGAAGGACACAGCAAAAGAGACATCGCTTATCAATTTGGAATCAGTAAAACAGTGTTCATCAGAACGTCAACAAGAAAACCCAGTATCGTTCCACCAAAAACTACAAAAAAAAGAGGCAGAAAACGCTGGTCACTGTGGTCTGTTAGTTATTTCTAAAGCTGTATAGCTAAGCGAGAGAGTTTAAGTATCTCGGGATCTTGTTTACGAGTGATGGGGAAATGGAGCGTGACATGGACAGGCGGCTCGGTGCGCCGTCCGCAGTAATGCAGGTGCTGTACCGGACCGTCGTGGTGAAGAGACGATTTACCAGTTCATCTACGTCCCAACCCTCACCTATGGTCACGAGCTTTGGGTCGTGACCGAAAGAGGGAGATCGCGGAAACAAGCAGCCGAAATGAACTTCCACCGCCGGGTGGCTGGACTCAGCCTTAGAGATAGGGTGAGGAGCTCAGACATCCGGAGGGAGCTCGGAGTAGAGCCGCTGCTCCTTCACGTCAAAAGGTGCCAGTTGAGGTGGTTTGGACATCTGATTTGGATTCCTCCAGGGAGGCTTCCTCTGGAGGTTTTCCGAACACGTCCACCTGGGAGGAGACCCCGGGTCAGACCCAGAACCTGCTGGAGGGATTATATCTCTTGGCTGGCCTGGGAACGCCTCAGGATCCCCCAGGCAGAACTGGAAAGGGTTGCCGGGGGGAGGAAAGTCTGGGACGACCTGCTCCACCTACTGGCCCCGTGACCCGACCCCGGATAAGCAGAAGATAATGGATGGATGGATAAAGCTGTATATCAACTGTGGGGTCCCATTAAATATAAAGTGCTGCCAACTGGTGAATGAATCAGATTTTTTTTATGTACGTTACACTGAAATGGTCGGATGAGCACGACCTAAAAGTTCTATATGGAGGATGATGAAGATCATCCAAACAGATCTTCATCTGAACATTTCAAAAACAAAAAAATTCGAGCTGCGTTTGTCCTCGTGTAGGTTTCGCATCTTCTTTTCAGTTACTTCCTGTTTTATTTTGTAAATTGCTTCCCTTCTGTTGTTGCTGGTGTCTTTACTTCCTCCCTTCGTCTGGTTCCCTCCCTTTTTGACTGTCCTCATTAGCTCCGTCCAACGCTGCATTGACAACATCTTTCCTTTGTTATCGTGTAACATTGTGGGAACGTTTTCTACATACTGGCGTTAAATATTAGAGTTAGCCGTCGTACCTTTCATTGAGGTGAAAATCACGATTCCTCCGAGCTCAAAGTCGATGCTTTGTCTGCAACAAAACAATCAGCAAGTCTGAAGTAGACGAGAAAAGTGAAGAACAGAGACAGAAATGCGTCAATTTATAGTTCGAGCAGTAAATTGCACCAATTAAACAATTCACTGCATCAACTAACCTTTAAAAATGCAACAACAACCGTGTAGATTTTTAACTATTTTGGCATTTTGACCACAAATCTCCGACGTTGGGGATGTTGCCACGTGTGCAAGATGTCGAAGCAACTGTCAAAGTCAACAGTCAGCTTTATTTTCTGCCAGATGAACAGGACGGGATTGAAATGCCGCTTCTCTCAGACCAGGGTGCAAACGAGCAGAAGAACGAAAAAGACAAGACACTCAGAAGCAAGAGATGCAACGGATAGAGTCGTAAAATACTGCCTGACTGGTGTGCAAGCAGATAGATATGTACAGATGGCAGGTAACAGATGTGAAAAGCAGTGCAATATACCGTAGTTGGTGCAGCATTACATACCACACAAGGTAAACTGATGAATTGTGTCCGACGTTTTTGGACTTTCTGGTTCAGTCAGGCTGAAGCAGTTGCTGTTCCTGCTTTCTCTACAAGCTTCGTGTTGCTGATCACATTTTGCTTTCATCAAGGTTCAACAAGGGCTTGACCCGTTCTGTGGGTTAATGAGAGAGAAGTTCTGCCTGAACAGTGTTGTTTGGTCGTTATCGGGTGAAGCTTTTTCTTATTTCCTGTCTCCTGGCTGCAATTAAAGCCTCCCTGAGCACCGAAGATGTCCCTAATCAGTCGGGTCTTTTCCTTTTTTTCACCTTTTCGTCATCTTTATTGCCTCATATTAATTAAACGTGTTATACTTGTGGGTCTAAAGGTAAGAGGTCCGACCACAGCTGCTCCTGTTTCCGTGCCGAACCAACGGCACTTGCGGCAGAAATAGACTTCCAGCAAAACCGCCGAGAGACGGCAGAGCCTCGCCGCTTATTGGATTTACTCGACTATTTCCATCAGCTGACTTGGTGGAAGGGAATCGTTGGAGTTGAGCATCTGAAGACAGACCGCATCCAGACTGAAGTTTTCCTTCCACGATGAACTCCAAACACACCTGTTCCTGGAGACTTTCCATTCAACCAGTCAGCATCCACGACTACAGTAAACTACAACCGTAGTGACTGTAGAACTGGCTGCATCAGCGGTAAAATATGCCACAATCAAAAAACAGAACTTTGGCACTGAAGGAATCACTGCCAGAACCCAGCAAGTAGGGAACGTTCCAATTTATACGTTCCAATATTTATATGTACATTTTTTTCTGTCTCGTATATGTGCATCTGTCTAATGCTGCTATCAACAATGTGAATTTCTCCACTGTGAGATAAATAAAGGCATATCATATCTTATCTTATCTTATCTTATCTTATCTTAACGTTGGCTAATGTTACCTACAAGGTCTTTTTTCTGACCATTCACCAGAGGAAACTTTAAAAAAAGATGCATTTCAGTGAAACCTTTACGGGTTATAGCACCATGTGGGACAGGTGGTTGGTCAGGGAAAAGTTCTGCAAAGTTCCAGTAATGTTTTCAGTAGAAAGTTTTCATTTAGTTCCCAGAATGTTCTTCTTAAAGGCAAGATAAGGTTCTCTAAAGATGCTCTAAAAATGTTCCTATAACTTTTTCCAAGTGTTGCATTGAGAACCTTCTTCCTTTATTATCATGTAACATTGTGGGAAGGTTTTCTCGTAGAACGTTCTCAACAGCAACATCCCAGGAACATCCTCAGAACATTGCAGACAAAATGTTGCACCTTTGTTATTATATCAAATTACAGGAATCTTTTCTAAAAACACATTCTGTCTTCTGAGGCCTCGACAACATCTTGGAAACATTTTTTGAATGTTGGTTTGAGAACGTTCTTCTTTTGTTATCATGGAACATAATCTGACAACATCCTGTGAATGTCAAAAAGGTTCCGTCTTGGTTCACTTTTAACCTCACAGGAACATTATTAGAAATGATAAACATCCCTGAAACGTTGTTTAAACATTAGTTTAAAATGTTTTCTTTCAAACATCGTTCAAACTTGTAGGTGACGTTAGCCAATGTTGTGGGAACGTCCCCTGCTTGCTGGGTTGTTCTTTGCCCAGCTGTAGTGTTTTTGTTCTAAAAACGTTCCGAGGAAGTTCTGCAAAGTTCCAGTAGTGTTTTCAGCTGGAAATTTTCTTTTACTTCCCAGAGTGTTCCTCTTACAGGCAGGATAAAGTTCTTTGAAGATGCTCTAAAAATGTTGTTAAAACATTTATCCAGATGTTGCACTGAGAACATCCTTCCTTTGTCATCATGTAGCATTGCAGGAACGTTAGTAAGATAGTAAGATGTTCTCAACAGCAATATCCCCAGAACATCCAGAATTGATGTTCTGGATGTTCCAAATTTTTTGAACGTTGATTTGAGAACGTTCTTCTTTTGTTGTCATGGAACATAATCTGACAACGTCCTCCAAACATCCTCTGAATGTTAAAATAATGGGAACTTTCTTGAAGATATCCGTAAAACGTTCTTTGAACCACTTGGCTCGTTAACGGACTCTGTTCTTGAACTGAGTCGAGGTTTGTGACCCACAAAAGGTTCTTAAAGCTGCTAAAAGGACAGAAATACTGAAAAAATCATGTTAGATCTTAAAAATATCCTTATTTAGAGATATGAGTACACAAAACGCTGTCAGAAAACGGTCCCTCCTACGGCTGAGGCTCTCGCTATTATTCTGATTTGACTGACAACTAATTACGCGTTGCCCGTTTTGTGGTTACGTGAGCTGCGTTTTGTTTGTTTACCCGTTGATGGAGTGAGAAACCAACAGCTCAGACGCTTAAAGACGAGCTACAGCTGTGCAGGATCACAAGTGCATTTTCACGCCTCTTATGTTACAGATGTCACCGGTGCAAGGGCAAGTCAGCAGCCGAGCCGGCAGATAGATGGGCTGACGGTCGCTGGGAGAGGGCCGGGGATCCGTGCACGAGGCGAGGTGTTAATCTGAGCGCGTGCGGTGTGTGCGAGCGTGCACGAGCTCCGGGGTTCTTGTGCAGTATGTGAAATCAAGCGTCCAAGATGCCCAGTTGATCCTCTGCCAAAATAACCTCCAGCTGCCTGATGCCTGTTGCAGTGTTTTCTTTTTTTTCCAATAAATGTCAGCGAGCTTGTCTGTTCTCTAAATATGGGGGATTGGACTGTGTGCCAAAACAAGGGCTTGTCCATCAGGAGAGATTGTGAGAGAGGAACTAAGGATGAACCCGATTGGCCGGCTCCCGTCCGGAGTGGGGGGTCCGCGGCCCAATCCGGATGGCTTTTAGTTAAATGGTGGCTGGATGAGAGGGTACTTATGGAGGGCAGTGAAGCCTCAGAGATACCTGAGCGGTGCAGGAGGGACACTTTCTTTTCTAGTCGTCTGCTGTTCGTTCTGTTGTTCAGCACAGCCGGCCGCCATGGTAAGAAACCGAGAGCTGAAAGAGGCGGGAAAAGGCGACGAGGGGGAGGCGCGTTAGCTTTTACGACTCCTGGAGGATTTGGTTTTCAACTGACGAGGATACAAGAAGATGGATTTCTACACGAGTGGCGTTTTGTCCTTCGTGGGAGTTTAATTCACACGTTCTGGCGGTTTAGTTCCTCCGACCGGTGACCCGATCGGCTTCTCTAGTCCCGACAGACTCGCGCTGCTTTTGTGCTCCATCACTCGATGTGATTGATATTTAGATTGAAGGCGGCGATACTAAAGATAGAAAAGCACACAGCTGAGTAAAGTGAGAAGACTTGCTGCCTTTTCCAAACTTAGGACGTTCACCTTGAGAAAATCCCTCTCAAATCCTCTCCCGAGACTCATCTTTAAAAATAGCTTTAAAGTGAGCTGATGGGTTTGTCCGGTCCTCCGTGTGGTGATACGGTTCTGTTGAGCCAACAAGTGCTTTACTGTTGGATTCTGTATTAAAGGGGAAATCAGTGTGAATGATTTCGTTAGTCATGTGGGGCTGTCAGCAACCTTCCTCGAGCAGTTTCTTTGTTGTAAACAAGACGGAAAACAAAACCGGCGCCGTCTGGACCGATTCCTGTTCAACACCCTGTATTATCTTCAATGCAATTTAAAGTTAAAAGTCTGCACAAACTGGGCAGCCAGCAGGTTCAGATCGGAAGATTAAAACCCATTTCTGCTTAAAACCTTAACAAAAAAACCCTCATTGCTCCATTTCCCTTCTGAAATATTCACTCAGCGGCCCCTAAATTTAGAAACTTTACTTTGTGGCCCTTTACGAAGCATCACTAACATGTTGGGGCAGCTGGCGGAGGATTAAACTTCTTACCTGACTATTTCCGGTGCCTGGCTTTGTTAATGATAGTTGAGTCTCCGGCTTTCTGTCGGGAGGAGGAGGGACGACACTGGCACCTTTGCACATCTTAGCTCATAAATACATGTTTTTCTGCAACGGAGGCACACTGTGCACAACAAAAGATCCATTAAATGCTGAAGGATGATTTTCTTACTCTGAGTGCAGTCTGTATGAAAGGAACAAAAGGGACAAGGACAATTAGCACCAAATTAACCTTGAAAGCAGCAAATTTCTGACCAGTAATGGAAACGGTAGCCGCCTGCACAATAACTTAAAACTCCAGGAAGTCTTGACATTTTCTCTCCACGTCTCCATGGAAAACAACAGGACCCGCTCAATTCTATGTTAACTCCACTCGTGCTGTCCCTGCTGTGAAAGAAAAGCGCTCATTAACTCCCCTGTAATCGCTGCTTCAAGCTGCTCCACTACAATCATGTGCAATAACTTTCCCTTTTGCCTCCTTCTCTTTGTGTTAATTCTCAACCCGTGAAGCCCACCGACGCCCAAAGTGACGCTCGGTCCTTCCTGACTGAAGAGATGATTGCTGGTCGGTAACTTTCTTCCTGCTGTTTGTGGTTGAAAAGCTCAAAGTCATTTGTGTTTCTTTTCTTGTGCTGCAGTAATAACTTAAAAACTTTTGCTGGTTTCGCCCAGAGTTCAAAGCCGCCTTCGACATGTTCGACACCGACGGCGGCGGCGACATCAGCACCAAGGAGCTGGGCACCGTGATGAGGATGTTGGGTCAGAACCCGTCGAGGGAGGAGCTGGACGCCATCATCGAGGAGGTCGATGAGGACGGTGAGGTCAAGTTTCGCTTCCTCCAGTTTCAAACTTCAGGCTCTAAGCTGCATTTTCTGCCAAACTTAAAGTCACAACAGGTTTGTTTTCAGACTCCAGACGGATTCCTGGTGATTCCTGATCAGATCTTAATGTGTAAAATCAATGTGGTCCTTCTGCACTTCAACGTTTAGGTCTCCACCTCCTAATTTTCTGATTGGTTCTTTTTAAAATGTCTGATTGTTGTTGCACGTGACGAATCAGACGTCTGGAATCCTTCACCGAGAATCATCAACTGTGGTGAAGAAAAAGTGTAAAGATAAAACAATAACTCCACATCTGCACGTCATCTCAAACAATCAGTAAGCAAACAAACAAAAAGGATCACATCTGGGCTTGGAGCTGTGTTACGGTAGACGTGGGACTCAGGTTACATCACGTGTTTAGATCCCCGTCCTCTCACCTCTTAGAACAAACCTACATTCATACTAGTTCAGGTTGTTCAAACTTGTCCAGATGTGGAACAAAAGTGCTCATATCACAGACATCGCAGATTCTTTAAAAACTAATTTCAAGTGATTTTGTAAAAACTTTTGCATTTTTTTGGACACATTGAGTTATTTTAGACTAATTTTGGGTCATTTTCTGACAAGATTTGTGTCATTTTGGACTCATTTGAAGTATTTTTGGACATTTTGGTTTGATATGATAAACCTATGTTAATCCTGTGGTGGGGAATTTGCATTTTTACAGCAGCAAAGGGGAAACCTTTAAGAAATATCATTAGAAACATAAAAATAAACAGAAATTAAACACAAGCACTAGTTCAGATTGTCCAAACTTCTCTAGATGTGGAAATAATGATATTGCACAGATTCTTTCATCGCAATTTTTCAGTTGTTTTGGACTCATTTTGCATTATTTTAGACATTTTAGACTAATTTTGGAGTTTTAGTAATTTAATATGATATAATAAAGCTTTATTAATCCCACAGTGGGGAAGTTTGCACCATTGTTACAGTACATTAAAATAAACCTCTTTGTCAATGACAGTTGCATCTCGAGCTTTCTGTCAAGCTTAAGGGTAAGATGAGGGACTATAATGGCACTTTTGCACATTTTAACTCCCTAAAAGCTGCATTTTGCACGTTGTAGGGAGTTCATCTGGTCCTGTGGAAAGAAACACTTTGAAGCATTTTGGAGTTTTATTCATTTTGAGTCATTTTCTGACCAGATTTGTGTCATTCTGGACTCATTTTAAGCAATTTTTAACGTTCTGATACGATATAATAAACGTATATTAATCCGATAGTGGAGAAATGTGCATTGTTACAGATGGAAACGGGAAACAGTTCAGGATTATCAGTTAAAAAAAAAAATAAATAAAAAACACAATAGGTACCAGTTCAGATGGTTAGGTTCTATATTGCACATATCAGTGGTTTTCACAGAGTAGAAACACCGACAGAGAAGTAGCATGTTTGCAACAGATTTGTGCAAAACAGTGTTTTTAAAGCAGTCTTGACCTCGTGTCTCGTCAGGCAGCGGCACCATCGACTTCGAGGAGTTCCTGGTCATGATGGTGCAGCAGCTAAAGGAGGACCAGGCCGGGAAGAGCGAAGAGGAACTCTCAGAGTGCTTCCGTATTTTCGACAAGTACGACGCTCACCGATAGCATGAAGCTAAATGAAAACACAGAGGAAAACAAGAATTATTGTTATATCAAATGGGTTCATTTCTGCATGACTGACAGAATCACTGAACTTTGTCAACACTAGGAGACGTTACATCATAATAACGAAGCATCAAACTGCTTATTTTTGCTGTTTTTTCACAAAATATTTTGCACATAAACTTTGAGTAGTGATTCATTCTCATCAGTTTTTCTATATTTCACTTCAGGTAAAGAGGAAAGCAGTTTCTATTTATTGCATATATGTTGCATTTAAAGCAAGCCAAAGCAGCGCTGCTTCTTAAACCTGCAACAACTGATGGTTTTTGGCTACTTGAGGGCAGCAGAGACAATAAAACCAACACGTTATCTCAGTAGTAGGTTAATACAACAAACTGTTCAGCCTACAGTTGGATGATTTATTTGTGTCTTGTTTGTGGTTAAACATAAAGCCCTTTTTTGCTCTGTTTTTGGTCTCCACCAGCTGCTATTAAGAACATCTGGTCGTGCAGCTGCTAATGCTCCATATTCACTCCGTGCAGTCAGCGTACACTCAATTTAAGAGGTTTTTCTCAATCTGTGGCCAGAAATGGTGCCATGAGCGCAGATCAAAGCAGTGACGCTGCGCTGAAACTTCAAGATCTATAAATTCGATGAAATTTGCAGATTCAGGTGTTGATTTTGGCACGTTGTTTTAAGAAGAATGTAGTTTAGAACCACGTCAAAGCTGCACCAATCAGCTGGTAGGCGTTAAATAAAACTGTTAAATAGCCTAAAGATTTATGACGGTTTTGTTTTAAGCAGGAACCTGCGACCTCGGAATCTGAATTTTCTGCCACGTTGTCGCGACGTAACGATCTTCAGGTTATCAGTGAAAGTTCTTATGTTATTGAAGGTTTTTACTTACTTTGACTTTGTTGTTAATATTCAGGTTTGTGCTGCGGTTTATTTATTGGTATTTTAATAACATTCTGCCGACAACCTTTAATGATCATTTCAAGATGTTTTTTTTTGCGATTTCCAGCCACGAGACGACAAACTGTCATCAGCTTTGGCACAAATTAAACTTTCTGATCGAGATCCTACAATCTAGAATCCAGTGTTCAGTCAGTTTGTGCATTTGCAGAACACTTCAGACAAATTAATCTTCCAGATGCGCAGACTTTCAGTGCAGTTCTTTAAAAACTATACCATAGTAATGCAGAAATCTTGGTCTCTGAAAATCTGTCTGAATAAAACATGAGCTGTCAGATTTGTTTCGTTCTCTGGCCAAAAGTTTTTCTAAAGCTGTGCCAGGAAATTCTCCATTGTTGACATTTAGTACCTTTTTTATTCTGAGTAAGAAAGCTGTAGGCTCTGGGTTTAGGTGGGTCGTCAGTGTTTTGTTGCTGAAATATGACGTCAAGACGAATGTTTTCCTGCATGTTAACTTTTTCTCATGTTTTGTATTTAACAAACAAACCAGAAAGTCATAGTTTTATATCAACAAATGGATCAAACTGCTCGACACGCAAAAGAAACTAAAGAGAGTTATGACTCTTCTATGCTGCGTCTTTTAGCTCATCGTCTTAGCTCTCTAATTAAAAAGTTGCTGGATGCATAAATAAGCTTTTTTCATTTGATAAACTTTGAAAACAAATTTTGTAAAGAATGTCTGCAGTGAGAGATCTGTTGCAAGTTTATTGGTGCTTTTTGTTTTTTTTAAATCCACAGGAACGGAGACGGTTTCATCGACCGTGAGGAGTTCGGAGACATCCTGCGTCAGACCGGAGAGAATGTGGCGGAGGAAGACGTCGATGAGATGTTCGGCGAATCGGACTCGAACAAAGACGGAAAGATCGACTTTGACGGTGAGACTGAGAACAGAGACCGTATAGTTAACTCAGCATTTTCCAGGATGTTTGTCGTTCAGTCAGAGGAAGAGAAAAACCGACCAGATTTCCAGATCCGCTGGGAACATTTCTGTGGTTCATCTTAGATCGAAGGATGAAGGAAAGAATGTAGGAAGTAGAAAAACGTGAGCAGCTCCGTGCAGCTTTCAGATCCTCTGTTCAGTTGCTAGTTAGCTTAGCTTAGCTTAGCTTAGCATGACGACAGGAAACTACTAGTTTCTGCACAAGAACAAAGACGTACAAACATCACGTCCTTGTAGTTCCTTCACCAGGACGGTTAGAATCTAACGAGATAAATTAACGAAGGCGGAACATCCTGGCTGCAGTGTTCTGAGGATGTTTTGGGGATGTTGTCGAGGGAAACGTTTTTTAAAAATGTTTTCCTGAATGTTTCATGATAGCAGGGGAGGAACGTTTTCAAACCAACATTCATAAAATGTTTTCGAGGCCTCAGACGACGGAACGTTTTGTAACGTTCCTGTGATGTGATCTACAAAGAGCAGAACGTTTTGCCTTTTTGTTGAGGGAGAACGTTCTTCTCTGACGTGTCTTCACAATGAGACAACATTCAAAAAACGTTGTCACGATGTTATTGAGACCTCAGATGACAGAACGTTCTTTAGAAGACTTTCCTGAACTGCGATATATTAACAAAGGTGGAGTCAGAGGATGTTTTGAGGGAAACATTACAGAACGTTTTTTTTTTCCAGTTTTTTCTCTAACGTTCCATGATAACAGGGTTTTGTAGCGTTTCTGTAATGTGATCTAAAACAACAGAGCATTTTGCCTTTTTGTTGGGGGAAAATTTCAAAGAACGTTCTTCTCTGACGTTTCTTCACAACGAGAACAAAGACGGTGTTCAAAAAACGTTGTCAAGATGTTACCGAGACCTCAGGTGACAGAACGTTCTTCAGAAGACATTCCTGAACTGCGATATATTAACAAAGATGGAACGTTCTACTATAAAACGTTCCCACAATGTTACAAGATAACAAAGGAAGGAGGTTTGTGATGCCGCATTTGGAAAAGGTTTTAGGAACATTTTTTTTTGTCTGAGAACGTTATCCTGCCTTAAAGAAGAACATTCTGGGAACTAAAAGACAATGTTCCTGCTCAAAACATTACTAGAACTTTGGAGAACTTAGAAAAAAAATCTATATCCAGCTTGGATTTAACTAAATCTGACAACATCCTTCAAATTTCTTTTGCATTTTGCGATTAAAACTTTGTGTTTTATTTAAGGTTTAACCTCACGGGAACCTTTTTGAAAAGTAGAAAAATCCTTAAAAAGTTTTTTGAGGATTAAAATGTTTTCTTTGAAATATTATTAGAACTTGTAGGTAACGTTAGTCGATGTGGCTTTTATAAGTTTCCTTACAGCACGTGGACTTTAAGACTCTTTTGGTAAAGTGTGACGGAGAAACGTTCTTTTTAAATTATTACAGCGTCAGGAATAAAGACCATCGTTGTTTTTCTCTATCGTACGGTCATGTGTTCTCTGTGGGTCTCAAGCCGACTGAATAATCTCCAACTGCTGAGTCGATTTTTTTTTTTTCCTGCCTCCAGAGTTTCTGAAGATGATGGAGAACGTCCAGTAGTGAGGCCAGCTCTACATTCCTTCCTTCCTTCCTTCCTCTGAGAGAAAACGACGAGTAATCTGCTCTAAAAACGCCCCTCAAACCTTCACGCTGTGGTTTCTGAGATGTGAAAACGGAGACAGACGAGCCCCCCGCCCCGCCGGCCCAAGCCTGTTGAGGATATCTATAAATATCCGCCCAAACCTTTTAAGACGAACACACTTTCCCCCCTCGGACACTTCGGCGTGTCGGACACCCAGCTGTCCTCCTTTAGCAGCTGCTTCTCCTCCAGAAACGCTACACCGCCGAGCTTCGACTCCCCCCAAACCGAACCTCTCCTCCTCCCTGATCTGCTTTCTAAATAAATTCTTCTTCCACCGATCGTACATCTTTGTTTTTGTTTTTTCTCCGTGCCTGCCTGATGTGTCCTTTCTCTGCAGATTTTTAAAAAATCTTTCAGTGGCTTTTCTGGGACTTTTAGACTCACAGGTGCATGAACACACAAACCAGTGCACTTCCTACATCAGCCTCCCTTCATAAAACACCACAACTGGTCTTAAAAACTACAAACCAGCCTCCACGCTGCACTTCCAAACACCTCCATCTGCACAGAAAGCCCCTAAAAGCCTCATTCAGCAAAACAAAAGTCTCACTTCTGAGGAAAACTTCTGGCTCAAACTTCCACTTTGTTCTCTCCTCAGTTTCTGTTATTAGTCTTCTCGAAGGAGTCTCCAAAGTCAGAGCAGCCACCACCGCCGAGGCTTCAGGTCCTCCTCCGGGTATATAGCCGCTCCTCGGGCTCCCCTCCTGCCTCCTCTGAGCTCCTCCCTCCAGGAACCAGGAGCCATAAAAGGACCACCAGGTTGTGTTTGTGGCTCCAGGTCTGCGTCCGTCTCGGTTTGAGATCTGCCTTCTATTCAGGGCACGGAGGGATGGGTGGGGTTCAGAGATGGTGAGACGAGGTCCTGCAGATTTTTTTTCCTCCCAGTGTTGAGTTTCACACCCAGATTTGTGACAAAATCCAGAACCTACTTAGAAATCTCCCCCTCCTTGCTCCTAGTCCATGTTTACAAGGCCTAAATAGAAATCCACCACCGAGCTGCAAGAACTGCGCTTTAGCTTTGAATTTTAGCGTATTTTGCTTCTCCCAGTGAGTTTTTTTCCCACAGTCCTTCCTCACATCCCACCGACAGCAAACCCAACGTCAAACACAATCAAACATCTGCTGCGCTTTTTCACCTTCTCCCCTCCAATATTTATTTCATCTCCTCACTTTAACGTCTTTCCACCTCGATCCACATCCCCCAAAAATCGCTCCCGCTTCGCTTCTTTCACATTCTTATCCCTGCAACTTTCAAGAAACTAGAGCTTTCCCCTCCAAAGTGTGATTGGCTTGCGGTGGCCCCAGAACCCTAAAAGTTCAGGATACTAAATCTGGAGGCCTGTGAGAGGCAGGGGGCGGGACCTGGCCGCGCCGTTTAAAGTGTGTCTGAACCTTCACTTGACGTCTAGTCTCTCTGTTGGGGTGCACACGGATTGACCACTCCTTTGGGCTTTTCTTTTTTCCTTGGATATTGTAGGGGGGGAAAGCTAATCCACAAACATGGTAAGAGACAGATGAACAGATTGTGCAAGTGATCCATTGAGCTTTTTCCAAACTGATGAGTGCAGCAGCCAGAATGAGAGTTAATGTGTTAATGAATGAGTGATAAATGCATGTGTTTTCCAAAAGTATGCTAAAATATTTATCTGTTGGCTTCATTCGCTGAAGTTAGAATTGATTTTTCTGTCACCAAACAGCATTTTTATAAAGATTTTGTGTTGGAATTCAATTAAATTCTCACTAAACATCCATTTAAAGTTCGTATTTTAGCTGCTTTTTGGTTGCAAACGCTCTGAATCTTTGTAGAAGTTTAACTGTGGCTGCTGATGAGCAGCAGGTTGGGTGTCAGCTGGGAATTCTGCTTAGGCAACAAATTCCCCGGGATTGGATGTCTGCAGGCCTTATACAGCGAGCCCAATGTGTCGAGCCTGAAATAGCAGGACTCATTTTCACCGAGCTCCAAATTCCTTCTGAGGCGGTGTCATGAAATCCTGCAACGCGTGACTTAAACGCCTCACATTAAAGTGGTTTTATCACAAAACATTAATCACATTCTAAAACTAAATACAAAAATATTGCTCTAATATTCTTAAAACACACCTTCTGCGCTGTGCCTAACAGCACTTTGACTGTCCCTGGTGACATCATTGATTTTTACTGACAATATTTTGGACATTTAGTCTAAAATCTGGTGTTTTTAAGCAGTTTTATTTCTTAAATTAATCACTTGAGCAGCCAGAATGTAAGAAACAAACAAACAAACTATATTTTCGCAGTTTTTCTGAGGATAATGTGGCCTAACGGTTTGGCTAAATCCACAGAGTTTAACTGGAATAACCACTGAAGGCTAAATGAAGCCTATCAAGAGAAATAAAATGACAAAGTCGCTCCTGTTTTCTTGCAGACTGACGCGCAGCAAGAGGCCCGCTCCTACCTGAGCGAGGAAATGTTGGCCGGTGAGTACAGAGTAACGCGTTACATAAGTAATGCCACTACTTTGATAAAGTACGGGTAATGTAACAGATTGAGTTTTTTTTAAATGATCACAACATCAAATGAGTTGTCCAGTTCTACTTTCTAGCGTTTTTCTGACAATTTCAGCACAACTGCGAGAAATCAGGTCCAATATGGACTTTAACAAAACCAAAAAATGTATTTAAAATATATAATCACATAAATGTTATGTTATGTCTAAAAGTAATGATTCACTGCTTGGAACTGCTGAGTGGTCAGTACAGATAAACGAAGCAGAGAAAATGCGCAAAAAGACGCATTATTTCGACTCGTGTCTCTCCAGAGTTCAAAGCCGCCTTCGACATGTTCGACACTGACGGTGGCGGTGACATCAGCACCAAGGAGTTGGGTACCGTGATGAGGATGTTGGGCCAGAACCCGACAAGAGAGGAGTTGGATGAAATCATCGAGGAGGTCGATGAGGACGGTGAGGAAAAATACTTTAACAGCGACACAGTAGATCTGCTGTGCGCAAAAACCGCTTTTACGCACAAGAAAAACGAGAGTTTGGCACTTTCATCAGTACATCCTCTATGATAAATCAACTGTTATACACACACACACACACACACACACACACACACACACACACACAGCAAAACAGTACACCAACGGTACATAAAGTGTTTTTACGCACAAGAAATACGCACGTCTGGCACTTTCATTGTTCATCTTCTGTGATACCTTATTTGTCACATAAGCGCGCCCACACGCAGGCACGCGCATTGCTTGGTTTGTAGACTAGGTTATTAAATTATACAGATTTTGGCTTAAATAAACTCCCAGTGCTTCTGTGCGTAAAACTGCGCGTAAAAATGAGCCCGACTTTGGGCTGATCGTGGCTAATCAACGATGTGGCCTCTCGTCAACACTCAGGTAGCGGTACCATCGACTTCGAGGAGTTCTTGGTCATGATGGTGAGGCTGCTAAAGGAGGACCAGGCCGGCAAGAGCGAGGAAGAGTTGGCAGAGTGCTTCCGTGTGTTCGACAAGTACGTGCGCAGTGTGTCTGTACACACAACTGTTTCCTTTCTCACAAATGCCCTCGTTCGTCTTTACAATCCCACATTGTGGCGTCTTTGCACTCAGGAATGCCGACGGCTACATCGACAGAGATGAGTTCGCCCTCATCATCCGCAGCACCGGCGAGTCCATCTCAGAGGAGGAGATCGATGAGCTGTTGAAGGACGGAGACAAGAACGCCGACGGCATGCTGGACTTTGACGGTAGGCACAAGATGATAACAAACGTTGGTCAATGATAAAATGATACTTTACCAGGCAATGATCATGGAGTGTTTGTGACATACTAAACTTTATTTGCTCATTTAATGCTTAGGTTAATTAATTTTCTTTTAAATATTTTACATCAACTCTTGAGTATTAAAATCCTTCTTTTGTGTAGATTCTCAGCCAAGCAGGTCAAGATAATAGTAGAAGCTTCACTAGAAAGCAACTGGACTTCCCTTTTTAGGTTCTTAAGAATGTGTTACCTCTCCAAAACTGAAAAAACCCTTGGATAAAGGTGAAACTTCTTCAAGAACCTAACAAGAGAAGTCCAATTGCTTTCTACTGAAGCAGTAGGATTCTGTTTTTCTGCTGCTGGCGAGGTGAGGAGAGGTTTTAGTGACAGTAACTGTAGCTGATTGGGTGTATTGATGACAAATATTAAAATTATTGAATAGTTTTCAGCCTCCAGCTCTCATTTCACATTTACAGATAAAGAAATAACAGGCGACAGAGGAGATAAAAGGTTCATCTGCTGCTGCTGCTCACATTAATTTAACTTCTCCGTCTCTCTTCTCGTTCCCAGAATTCCTCAAGATGATGGAGAATGTGCAGTAAACCCAGAAAGACTCATGGACATTCCTCCACCCTCCTGTGAAGCCCCACTCTGAATCCACCTCCCCCCTCCTCCTCCACCCTCCCATCCACCTGCCTCTCTTCTCCATCCTTAAAGCCATCCTCAACAGAAAGCTAGGGCACCTGGCGGGGGTCGCTGGCCGGGCTACACTCTTCCCCTGGTTCGCTTGTTAAACGCAGACGCCACGCCGACGCCGTTCATCTCAACAGGACGGCTCGGCCGCGACGGGGAAACCCAGAGCACACACACCTCTTGCATGGCGAAACCTCCGCGACCCCCTCCTCCCCCTCTCTGCCGGAGCTCAGATCTAGATGTAGTCTAGATAGACGGGCAGCCTGTTACCTGCTGCTTAGACCAATTCATTCAACCACTTCACTGTACAAAGACGTACATTTGCTTGAACAGAATAAATGAACTAAGACATGCTCTCTTGTAGTTGGTCTGTCATATTTATGGTCTGTGTAAAAAAATTTTGTTTTGAGGAATATCAATAAAATCTCTTTGTTTCTTCTTTTTGTCCAATTTGTTTGAACCACAGCCGGAGTTTATCGACGGAGTTTGTGCTGAACGTCAGAAGTAAAGACATCAATGCTGTTTATCTTGCCCAGTATCCTGGCTGTGATTACGCAGTTCAACTAAAGGCCTCTAAAAATGCTTTGTTTTGAACAAAGTAGTAATGCCAGACAATCAATTTCCCAGAGTCAAAGTCGATGTTGGTAGATGTCTTGTTCAGTCCAGCCGACACTCCCAGGCTTTAAAATGCAGTTTGAAATCACAACCTACAAAGTAAATCCAGTGTGTGTGTGTGTGTTTATGCCTCTCTTGACAACTACACACCTGACCTGCTTCAACCTTGCCGACTTTACTGCTGGAGACCCGTTGAGGTGGTTTGGATGACCGGTGGCCATTTGTGGAGCCTTTGGGGGCCTGTGGATGGAGCCAAAGCAGAGCCTGTTGCTTGGAAACAGCCTCAGATAAATGTACACATTCTGATGAGCTCTGGTGATGATTACAACACGGTGCCACATTAATGCAAACGCCGCGGCTGCACAGTTACTGGTGTCATGTAAGTTATAAAGAGCTGTGGTTTGATGACACCACTGACCTTTTGCAGCGACAGTCGGGCTTGTGTGTGTGATGAGATGCTTATCATGCCCAGTATATATATATATATATATATATATATATATATGTATGACCTACTGTATTACAGCCAATGGCACACAGGAAACAAGATCACTCTCTAGAGACTCATAAATACAGAATACAGACTCCACTCACCCAGTCAACATTGGAGAACGTCTTCAGCTGCAGAAGCAACAGGATTCTGAAGGATGACACTCACCTCCGTCTTCTCCTCTTCACTCTTCTGCCGTGTGGTCGGAGCTACAGAGCCCAGGAGTCACCGCTGAGCTGAGCTCTGATAAACACTTCACTTCAAAGGACTGTTTCTATTAATGCAAACAATCTGCAGGGACTTCAGGGATGTTATGTGCAATATTTATATTTTAAAATTGCCCACATTACCAGGATGCCACTCGCCCTAGATCAGGGGTGTCGACATCCGGTCCTCGAGGGCCGCAATCCTGCATGTTTTAGATGCTTCTCTCTTCCAACACACCTGATTCAAATGATCAGGATCGTTATCAGACTTCTGCAGAGCTTGATGATGAGCTGATCATTTGAATCAGGTGTGTTGGAAGAGTGAAACATCTAAAACATGCAGGATTGCGGCCCTCGAGGACCGCAGTTCGACACCCCTGCTTTAGATGCTATGTTTTTGTCGTATGTTTGTATGGGTGTGTATTTATTTCACTGTACAGATATGCGCAATGACAAAAGAGTAATTCTACTCTATACTGTACTGAGGTGAATTTAATTAATCTAATTCTTGTCTATGAAGTCTAACAGACAGATCTGCAGGTCAGTCAGTGGAGCTGCTGACGAGTCCAAGCAGAACTCGACACCCTGACTTCATCTTTTATCGTGTGGCATCTTTTATTTTCATGCATTTTTAATTCCACATTGTCTGCTAGTCACTGCATTTACATCTTATGGGTCGCCGCTTATCACTCTAAAGCACTTTGGTTCAACTTTCTGAATGACTTAATCTGTTGTATTCACTATTTTCTCCTTTACACGTTTTAATTTTTCACTTTTTGTCTGTAAAGCACTTTGAATAACATCTAATGAGGTGAAACAAACAGTGTCTTCTGCTGCTCAAAGTAACCGGACTGACTGAGAGTATGAAAACAATGTGAAAGCTGCTTTATTCAACATGTCATTAGCTTTATATCCAACATCCTGTCATCTCTATGCCACAGAAACGCAGTTTGGACCACAATCCAAGCGTGAATAACAAATTAAAACGACACAAACCTCCAAATTAACCCCCAAAAAGTGTCTCAATGAGCCGTTAGGAGCCATAGTTAGCTTCGTCGAAGGCTTTCCTGGCTCTCTTCAGCTCCTCGTTCATGGTCAGCAGGTCTTTGACTCGGGCGAACTTCCGGGGGTCCTTACGGATCAGAAACACGATGTCCTCCACCTGGACGCGGCCCTGGCGTCCGATGGACATGGCTTTGTGGGTCATCTCCGTGATGAACTCGATCACCAGGTCCTCCAGGATGTCCACGGACTCCGTGTACGGGTTCTGGTCGTCTCCGAAGCCATACATCATGCACCGGAGCTCCTTGGAGAAGAGCCTCTTCCTCCTGCCGTGGCCCACGTCCACCCCGCTGGTTCCGTCGTCCAGCTCCTCGTCGAAGCCGGGTTCGTCTTCTTCGTCCGCCATTCTGCTGGAAAACGCCGGTTAAACTGGGCACTAGTATATATTTTATAACATTAAATTAACTCTGTGTAGTATGTAGTTTAATTAAAATTCGAGTAAACCTCTGTACCTGTCACGGAGGCTGGATTTGTTTGTTGTTAGTTTGTCTTCTTCTTCGTTTGATTTGATTGGCGGCTCAACTTCCGCTCTCCTCTCGTTGACTGCGGAAGTAGCGCTTCGTAGACGGTTAGCGGGTGAAACCACAGCGCCCCTGGTGGTCATATCCCCGTTACACCGCACACAGCTCGAAGTTTACTCATGTTAGTCTGCCACAGAGTGTCCACAATTAACGGTGAGTGTGTTTTCAACAATATTTTATCTGCCGTTTGATTTGCGGATGTCGCACCGGTGTGCCGAACTTAATTCAAAAAGATGCGTATTTAACGCAATCTCGTCCGTGGGGATCACCAACAGGCTGCATATGCGATTCTGTGGGCTCACCTCAACCCGGCGAGCTGTTTTTGTAAATCAGCTTCATCCATGTGCGTTTAAACTCATCTACACCGCATTGTCGGTGGATTGTGTTGCGCTTTGTGCGTGTTGTTTCCGTAAACGCTTCCCGGAGGTGGTAGCTAGCAGACTGAAGCGATCAGAAAAGTCAAACACTTATCAAATCACACTTACGTACTTTTATGACATAGTGGTGACGCCGAATTAGAGAGTAATAAATTGCACTTTAAATCGTGTCTTAAGTAATAATAAATGTGGAGTGTAGGTTTTAACTAAACGCTGACAGCGTCAATAGAGCGATTGATCAATGGAGTTCGGTACGTGGGTGTTGACGTGAAAACGACACGTCTCCGGGGCGCTGCTCTGTCACCGGTCACAGGTTGGTGAGGGACGTTGAAAGCTTCACTCAAAGTCGAGAAGGAGTGAGTAAATTCTAGCTAATTAGTTAAGATTAGCACTCTGAAACACAGCAGGCTAATGTGAACTAATGGGATGTAAGGCTAGTTAGCTTCAGGAAACTGCTGGAGCTGCTCACAGCTGTCGGTGAGTTTATCAGCTGAGGCTCATCAACAGTTGTCCTGTCAGGGTTTCTGTTGTTTCTGTGGTTTAGATCAACTTCCACAGTTGGTTCACTGCTGGCTGATAACTTGTGCTTAACACTGTTGTTGACCTCAGAGCAGATTGATTCAGTTTCAACACTGACAACAATATTCTATGGAGTTGTGAGAGTTGCAAATTACACAAATAAATCAATAAAAGAATAGTGGAAATAAAAGAAGAATAAATAAAATAAAAAATAAATAATGTGGCAATATTAATCAAAAATGAATCCATAAAAGAAAAGGCTAATAAAAGTTGAAATACCAAGACAAATAAATAAAATAATATAAATAATAATAATTTATTTTTTATTATTTTTAATTTTTAATGTATTTTATTTTCTTTATTTGTTTTTTATTATTTTTTAAATGAAAAAAACATTATAATGTCGCTTTAAAAGCAAAAGAAATATGTGCAGAAAAATGGAGAAATGTCACTGTGCGCGTATTTTACTGTTGCTTTACCAGGTTTCACTGTTTGTTAAATTGCTGAAAAAAGGAACAGAAAAAAATATTAATTTACATGTTGGGGGAAAATGGCCACGACTTAAAATATTGTCTGTATTTTGTTGTATGTTCTTTTGCAATGTGTGACCATGTAATTAACCTGTTGTGTTGCATCTAAACCTGCAATTTAAATCTCTATTTTACAAATATTTGTCATTATTTTTCCTGTTTTGCAATTTATTTAGACCATTTTTTGACATATTTTTGGCTCCTTTGCTGCCACATGTTCACTGTTTTTCTAGATTTTTCCTGTTTGCTGAACTCAAATGCATCCCAGCTCTGACTCTGTTCCTGCCTCTCTGAAAGCAGTCCGCCATGGGTGCTAGGAGGAGGTTCTGTTTGGAGATGGACTCTCTACAGTAGCTGTCCGGGCCGGACAGCTCATCCTGGAGGTCCTGCATGGCGGTGCCGGTCCAGTTCCTTTGCCGGGGGATTCGCACGGTTGGATTGGTTCTCCTCTTCTATGTCTTCTCCATAGGCATCACGTTCTATAACAAATGGCTGATGAAGGTGAGTGAGGAGATCATGAAACACTGCCAGGTTCTGCTGTTATTGTCTGGTCGGTGCTTAGATGAAGGAACGTTTGTTTCTTGGAGGTCAGACGTTCCTCCTTCAGTGTCTCAGGCTGCAGGTGATTCAACTACATGGACTTCGTGGATGACCCGATGTGCTCCTCTCTGTCTCTCAGGGCTTCCACTACCCGCTCTTCATGACGCTGGTTCACCTCACCATCAACTTCTGCCTGTCGGCTCTGACGCGGCGGGCCATGCAGTGCTGGGCAGGGAAACCCCGCATCGTCCTGAGCTGGAGGGATTACCTCCGTAAAGTGGCTCCGACCGGTGAGCTTCACCCAGAATCAGAAAAGTCGACCCTCAGCCGACTCTTATCACCAATTCACTGACGAACGCTTCGACTGAAGTCCGTGTAGATAAAAAGAAAATTACATCACAGCTGAAGGGGACAGCTGATGTTTTTTAAAAAGGCTGATTCATCAATTAACCGCCATAAACCAGCAGATTTGCTTGAATAATATTTGCTTCTTTGTTAAAGGCAGCGTTTTTTATTCTGCAGAATCTCAGGGTTGCAGTTCTGTTTTTAATCAGTGACAGATACACAGTGTAAAATGAGTGTTTGTCACAGTTTCTCCGTTATTTGTGACCTTTTACAAACTGGTGTCCTCCTTAAAAAGTCCTTCCTTCCTTCTGTGTGTCTGACTCACAGCTCTTGCAACAGCGCTGGATATCGGACTTTCCAACTGGAGCTTCCTCTTCATCACCATCAGCTTGTGAGTTCACAGCGTGCATCTAGGGCGACATTCGGAGAAGGTCTGAGCTTCGTACGGCCTCGTTCTTTTAGCTTTCTGGACGAAAATGTGTCCCGGTCCACGTCGAATGGCCTTGTAGTGTTTACTGGTACAGTCGTCCTCACGTATTCAGACCCTTCCAGTAAAGAAAAGGCAAAACTCACAACAGTCACTCAAATAACTAGAAACTGAAAAAAGTAATAATAAATAAAAATTTGTTAAATTATAATTTAGTGAAATAGGACATTAGTTTTGAATTGTGGTTGAAAATAATTATTTAAAAAAAAAAACTGTCCCAGACAAATTAGGGGGAAAAAAATAAATATATATTTTTTTTGTTTTGTTTTGTTTTTGTCATATTTCTGTTGAAGAGGAGGGTATGAATACATTCAACATACATTTGCAGACGACTGCATATGATCAGTTCTTCTTCTTTTTATACATAAATCTCCACCAGACTCAGATGCATCACCGTCTCACACATTCATTTGACAGAATGTCGTCACGTTTACAGACGGACCAACACCTGTAGAGGCTTTACTTCGAGCTGTCCACTCACGATCAGATCATCATGTTAATTTACAGCCTTTTAATTAGGACACATGACTCCAGTAGGTTTGTGTTTCAGCAGTCATTGTGTTAAATCCTCACCTGTGGCTCTGGTTCCAGGTACACCATGACCAAGTCCTCGGCCGTGCTCTTCATCCTCTTCTTCTCTCTCATCTTTAAACTGGAGGAGCCGGTGAGTTGTCCTTCAGTTCAAACTCCAGCGTTTGTGCAAGTCGTGAGTTCCTGAGCTGAAGGGTTTTAACGGTGAACTCTGTCTTCACTGTACGACACACAGACAGGGTTCAGTGTGATTCTCATCCAGGACACGTTCATGTGTTCTGGGTTGTTCTGTCACACTAAACAAAAAAGTCCATCAACTTAAAAACATAAGTAAAAAAAAGTGTGGTGGCTGTAGTTGTAGATTTAAATCAGCAAAAATGACCATTATTTTACAAATATGTTTTAAAAAATGACGTATGTTGCAGACTAAATAAAACAATTATTAATAATTAAAATGTTATTTTACAGATTTTCTGTATAGTTAAATTGAGCAAAATCACAGAAAAAAAACTTACATGATGACTGTAAAAAATACAAACAAACTAAAAAACAAAACAAAACTCCAAATAATGACACCATCAAAGATCTTTCTACACATGGTCATTTTATAATTTTTTTAAAACCGTATTCAAGTTCAGTAAATGTGTGGCAGCAGAAGCAGAACTCTGTCTAATGGGGTGAGTTTGCTGTAACAGCAGCAGTGAAATTAGATTTACAGTCATCAGGTAACTGAGTGCTCTCCGTCTCTGACTCAACCAATCTGATGAGCTCCAGGAACACTTTCAGAAACGATCTCCAGCCGTGTGGATTACAGCCACATTGACTTTTTAAAGCTGATCATTATGGACCCGTTCTCTGGCACCCAGCAGTCGATAAACATCGATTTCATCTTTTCTTTAAATCAGTGGAGTGCGTTTCACAGCCGGTGTCGACCTCTTTCTTTCAGCGGCTGCAGGCAGAAAAAGGACAACACACCAAACCTTCCTCATGCAAAATGTCAAAAACAGACCAAACAGGAAAAGGAAACAAAGGCAGCGGTTATCAAAGCTGACATTATACCTCCTGAGTAACCTGCACGCTGGCATGTTAGCGTTTAGCTCCAAACTCTGCTGCCAACAAAGTCGAACGCCTCCATCACTTCTTCTGTGCATGTAAATATTTTCTGAACAGACTCAGCATGAGTGGATTCTCAGTGTCTTCACGTGCATGTAGCTCATATGTGAAGGGTTATTATTATCTGACAGAGTTCGTCAAAGTCAGAGTCACTTTATTGTCAGTTCTGCTACACGTGTACACGTACAGAGAACTGAAACGGCGTTTCTCTCAAACCCTCATTTTAAAAAACACACAGTTAAAAAATATACATACTAAAAAATATTTAAGCTAAACATGTAATCTGCTAAAAATGTACAGTCTGGACCTATAATAAGCTAAAAATGTACGTAAACACAAAAGAGAACAGAAGAATCAGCATCAGGCACTTATTAAGTCTTTGGTTCTGAACCTGATTTGTATCTAAAAAAAATAATGTGCAGTGAAAACAGTGCAAATCACACAATACGAAATAATGGACAGTGCAGTAAACAAGCTTATATATACTGTATGCAAGGTGGCGCAGTGGTAGCATTGTTGCCTCACAGCAAGAAGGTCGCTGGTTCGCGTCCCGGTGAGGACACCCGGGATCTTTCTGTGTGTCTCCATGTTCTCCCCGTGCAGCGTGGGTTCTCTCCGGGTTCTCCGGCTTCCTCCCACAGTCCAGAAACATGTTGAGGTTAATTGGTGATTGTAAATTGTCCGTAGGTGTGAATGTGAGTGTGCTTGGTTGTCTGTCTCTAAGTGTAGCCCTGTGATAGACTGGTTACCTGTCCAGGTGAACCTGCCTTCACCCTGAGTCAGCTGGGATAGACTCCAGCCCCCCATGACCCTAGTGAGGATTAAGTGGTGTATAGATAATGGATGGATGGATTTCTAATCCCGTCTTGCACTGTTTCCTCCCGTCGTTTCTCCCTCTCTCTCGGCCCAGAACCCGTTCCTGATCGTGGTGGTGCTGCTGATCTCCAGCGGTCTGTTCATGGTCACGTTCAAGTCGACCCAGTTCAACCTGGAGGGCTTCATCATGGTGCTGCTGGCCTCCTTCATCGGCGGCATCCGCTGGACGCTCACTCAGGTCCTCATGCAGAAAGCAGAGCTGGGTGAGTCCGGTCACGGCTGCTCAGGCTGTTCTGGCCACGCAAACACAGAAATCCACCTTCAGATCCAAAGAAACAAAGAGAAAAAAAACAAGTGATGTAAAGGGAGGAAAACACATTTGAAGGATTCTGCCAAGGAGTCTGTTTTTTTTTTCTTTTTTTTACTTTTACAGATTTTGTTTAGTGCAAATGGTTCATTTTTAGAAAATAGAGTTTTATTATTTACAGCACAGGCACACGAGTCAGCTTTATGTACAGGAAAAAGAAATAAACTAAAAGATAAAATAGAATAATTTTATTTTTTCTTCAGAATTTTATTTTTATTTTATTGCCAAATATCGGAATTGGCTTCGGCCTCAAAAAATCCATATCGGTCAGGCCCTAATTTGGTAAAAATAAAATAAAATTTTAAAAAAGACGCATAGAATAAAGTGAATTTGATGAAATATCAGATTTTGAGAGTAGATTTGGTTCATTTTTCTGCCGGAGAGTTTAAAATGTGATGATTTTTAATGTTTTTTTTCAGTGTTGGACTCTGATGAATGATGTAATTTTACTGATTTTTAAAAAGTCAAAGCTGAGATGAGCTTTAGGGTTCAGAGGGTTCATCTCACCTCAATCCAAACAGTGTATCGAACATAAGATGTGAGTTACAGAACAACCTCTGAGTTTGTCCTCATGTTTTGCCACATTTGAACTGATCTTCCTCCTCGTCAAACCTTCTCCGTGTGCTGCTTTCTTTCAGGCCTGCAGAACCCAATAGACGCCATGTACCACCTACAGCCTCTCATGTTCCTCAGCCTCTTTCCCCTCTTCCTGTATAACGAAGGTCAGTGTTGTCTTAAGCTCAGCCCAGATGTTAGACATACTCTAAATCACGTCACGCCGTCTTCAGCCACTCCCTGGAGTTCTCTCCCACTAGTGTTTCAGAGCAGACGGGTATTTTTCTCTCCAAAATTTCATTTTAGAATCAACGTTATTGCCGTTATTCCAACTTTAATAACGATAGCACTCGTCTTATCTGATTCCCTTTGTTCTGTCATGTGTTTGTAGAAGCTGTTATAATTAGCTATGTTTCGGACTATCATTAATTCTGAATCTGTACTTCTCCACTGAACCTATGATCCTGTTTTGCTTTTTTCTGCTGAGCACATTTCACGTCCTTGAAGGTAACATGACCGGTGAGAACTGGTTCACGTACTGGGAGACGGTGGAAACTCCTCTGTTCTGTTACTTTAGATACACGCCTTCAGGACAACACACACACACACACACACACACACACTTTGTAATGGATCCAAGCAGGTTCTGTTTACATTTCAGTGAACTTCCACGTGAACAGTGGTTAGCCTATAGACGTCACAGTAACTGGCCAGTTAAACTGGGTTGCGTACAGGTCCAGCCTCTGTACGGGGCAGGCCCACGGCTTTTTATTTTGAGGCACATACATGAATAAAGCTTTAATTGACTTGACCAGCACATTACCCACACCTGCTTTACCTGCAAATATTGTTTTATTATCAGCAAAATTCAGCAGCAAATACTTGATCAATGAGACTTTTTTTTTTAAATTTGATTTTCCCATTATGAGCTTATTTGTAGTTTCTGGCCTGAACATCATTTGACCAAAGACAGCGTACCCAGTCTTCCTCCTCAGGCGTCTTTTCATGCCTGTAGTCCTGCAGTTTTGCCCTGAACATCAAGAAAGAGTCTTTTTTTCTTGTCCATAGAGGTTGATGCTACACGTATCAGCTGTCAGATAAACTCTGATCTCCATTTGTAACCTCTGTGCCGAGTCGAACGTCTGCTTTTACTCACTACATTGGGCAAGTAGTCAACTGTTGGTGGCACCAAAGTGTCAGCGTTCACGGTGCCATCTATAAAAGAAAAAACACTTTTTCCACTCATGCAGCTTCATATCATCCCACTCACATCTTCAGGCTTCACTGTGGAAGTCTTCTCACACACAGTACATTCAGCTCACAAGAGTAAACAAAGACACATTAAGGACTCACAGCGTTAAATAGAAAAGTGGGCTGACTGTGCACAAGAGACACGTGAAGGTACAGGACACGGATCGTACACATGACGAGTGTTTCGTGCTTTTTTCCAGAAGTTGGTTTCAGTATTTCTGTGCCACAGATGTCAGATCCTGTTTGCTCTTGGCTTTTCAAACCATTTAGAACATTCTTTCATTCGCTGCTTTGTTTTCCAATAATGTGCTTAATTTGATTTCTGGTAATTATGAGGAGCCAATGTAAACAACTCACCCCGACCGTGGGAATAAACCTGCGTTTCTCGAGTCGGGGAAGTTTTATTGAGATGTTCAGAGTCGTCGCAGCACCCAGAGGGGATTTTAATCATAATCAGTCATCAGCGTGTCAGAGCTTCACTTTGCTTCACTTTGCTTCACTTTGCTTCACTTTGCTTCACTTCTCTGTTGCTCTGTTCTCCAAATCTACGCAGCGTGATCCACTGCAGCTTCCTCTAAGGAGCTTTACAGGTTGTTAGATTTAAAATATGAGCCCTTAAAGCAAACCACGGAAACCGCTGTAATTGCTTAATTGCGTTACTTAGTCCCGTCACGGCTGCCAGCCTTATAAATCCTGTTTGTCTGCCTGCAGGGCTGAGCCTCAGCAGCTCGGAGAAGTTGTTCCGGGTGACGGAGCTCTCTCCTCTGCTGTATTCGCTCTTCACGCTGAGCATCGGCGGCCTGCTGGCCTTCGGTTTGGGCTTCTCGGAGTTCCTGCTCGTCTCCAGGACCTCCAGCCTCACCTTGTCCATATCAGGGATCTTTAAGGTGCGTTTGAACTCTGAGTGTTGTTTTGAACTCGTCTGTCAGAGTTAGCCAAACAAGATGACTTTAGGTGCTTGTTCAGATGCAACCAAACCAACAGACACATTTTAGAGGTGCTTTTATTAATATTTCAGTGGAAACCTATCAATAAACATCCCACAAACCCATCAACATAAGAAACAAACAGAGAAAGCCAGGCAAGCGTAAGGGATCCAAAAGGCAGGAAATGGAAAGTAGAAAGTTAAAAATGATGACAAATAATTAACTTGCATGACGTGAGGAGGGGAGCCTACTGTGTGTGTCGTTTTAGTCTTTCAGCTTCCATGTTTGCCACAAAGAGTTCAGTCAAACCTTTAATAAACCATATTTTCTCCAGCTGTAAATAAGACATGACATCTTTAATCCAACATCCACACGCTCAAGAGGAAGAGTCCTTTGATTTACACAGAAAGTGAGCAAAAAAAACCCTTAAATTAACATTCAGAGGAGTGATTGTAAATATTTGCCTTCGATGGAGCAACCAGCTGCACAAACATTGTCCAAGAGAAGTTTTTTTTAAACAATGATCTTTTTATTGACAGTGTAAAGATTTCCTTTGTGCAGCAGCATAAAGTAAAAAATAGTAGTGAACACAAATTCTATGCAGATTATTTGTACAGTGACAAACCAAAACCTCAAAAATGAAAAAGACAAACCAACCAAAAACAGACAAAAAAAAACCCACAAGAAAAATCTGCAAAACATTCCCAACAGAACCCAACATAATCAGAGCGTGTCACTGGTAACAAGTCCTCAAAGAAATATACCAGGCTGTAAGACTGGATGTCAAGTTCTTCTCTCTTTCTTTATCTTTATTCCCCATTTCCTAGTCTCAAAGTGAAATTGCAGTAAATAAATGAAGGATGGATGTAAGCAGAATCAGTGGGGATTAGAAAGGCTCCCCATACTTGGTTCTGAACAGAGAACCTGATCTTTCCCAGGCTCAGGCAGGACATTACATCTGGTAGCCACTGATTGTAGGTCAGGAGGGCAGCACCCCTCCATCAGAGCAGAACAGAACGCCTGGCCAGGAGGGAAGTGACTGATAACATGCGACGGACATCAGAGGAGACTTTGTGGTTCCCTGAGTAAACACCAAATAAGGCTAAAAGGGGGTCAAGGGTAATAGTTACAAGAAAAGTTTTAAATGTTAAATCCCAGAAATGAAATATGTGACATAAAGTGGCTGAAGTCTGTTCACACCTGAGATTAATGTCACAGCTCATGTAAGCTAATGAACATCAATATCAGAGTAAACAGCAGTGTTTCTAAGACAAATAGAGGATGGATTTTAACAGCTTAGTGTCCATTATCATCCACACAGCTCTGATTTAAGGAGTCCAGAGCTGCCAGGTGAGGAAGATTTAGTTTTTGAATTGAAAGAAACAGAATCTAATGAAGATGGACAGGAAGGAAAACACACACAAAAGAGGCCACGAAGCTTTGTGTACATGAGGAACGTCAGTCTGTGTTTCACATCTGAAAATGTAGAAGATTCTTTGTTAGCTGCAGTTTAACTGGAGCAGCTCAGAGCGTCAGAATCGCCTCCAGTTTTGTCTAAATGACGCTTTGCTTCATCCCTTTCACGGTGTCGTCTTCCTGCAGGAGGTGTGCACTCTGTTCCTGGCCGCCACTCTGATGGGAGACGAGATGAACACAGTGAACTGGCTGGGCTTCGTCGTGTGTCTGTCCGGCATTTCGCTGCATGTGGGACTCAAGACGTATTATTCCAAAAGTAAGTCATCGGTTGTCAGAACTGCTGCACGTGAGAAAGTTCAACAAATACTTTTTTTTTTTTAAACAAACCTCCAGATATTTTAAAGACATAAAAAAAATAACTGCATAGTTCTGTCCAACAACAAACTCATCTTGGTAGTTTAAAAAATATATGCGCCAGCTCCTTCTCCATTAAAGAACAAAGCAAATGTTTTTCATTTGAAAAGTTTAAGTGAAGTTTAAGTGAACCTCCCGGAGCTGCAGATAAGATCTAAGATTTAAAGTGGTTCGACAAAGCAGTCAGAAATAACGGGGATCACGACGGTGCTTATCAGCTTCTTTTTTTTGTTAATCAGGTTTTCTTCTTCATGTTTCACGCCTCATGTTAATCTTCTTCTGCACAAAGTCGACCGATGGTGTGACGGTGCTGCTGCCAATTACAAAAACCTGTTAATTGTGTGTTAATATATTTATTCTACTGATCGATGCAGCTGCACATTAGAGCTGTTACACTTCATATACGTAAACATGACGTTGTATTGAAGTGTGTTTAGGTCTGACGCTGCCCCATAATGCAGGAAATCACTTTAATGAAATTAATGGTACTGATTGAATAATCTCTGTCATAAATACCGGTAGAAGAATCAATATTTTAATCAGCTGCAGCACCAGCAGAGCAAACAGAGCAAACATAAAAACATATTTATGCTTTTTCCTGCATCACCAGCTGGTGGTTTCCATGGCAACCCAATGCAAACAGCGTGCGACAGTGTAGCTGCACGGCTTCGATCAGTGCTTCTAGTAACGTCTGGATCAGCAGGTTTGCAGATGAAACGTTTTCCCTCCGCTGAGAATCTGCACGATTTAAATCCGAGACTGAGTCGGGTTAGCTCAGCAGCATCAGTTACCATGGAGACCTATCAGAGTTAAACTACACCCCCCCTCAACACTCTCAGATCGGATGATAATGTGGGTTTTGTGATGTCTTCCACCAGATAAAGGCCCTTCTTTAAGGCAACTCAGCAGCAAGAGCCCAGAGCTGGAGCTGCCTCTCCTGTGGCCGAACGGAGACAAAGGCAAGGAGTCGGCCGCCGAGGAAGACGAAGACGAGGAACAAGAAATCACTCTGCACTGACGTCGCGGGACGTCGTCCTCGTGCCACTCATTCCTGTGAAATCAAAGAGTGTTAAAAACTGTTCACAAACACTGCCACAAAACGAGGACGTCCTCAGTATTTGTTTTGAACGTGACACGGATGATGACGTTTTTGCCTTCGGGGAGGTCGAAGATGTAGCAAACACCTGCAAGTGTCGACAAAATGTGACGCGTGGAGACAGAAGCGGAGAGCTTTAAAGGGATTCTTCCACACTGGGGGCCAACTTGTCTGTCACTCTGGTTCTGCAGAGTCGGGATCTGAACAGTGTTGTAGGGGATTAATCGAGGGGCTGCGAATGTTTAGTGTTAGCAGAAAACTGTGGTGACCTGACGCCAGGCTCCTCAGAACGTAGCACCATTCCCAATAGTGTTATCTTGTGTAAAGCAGAAATAATAGACTGATCAGTGACGGCTGTAGAGCTGCTGTAACTCTGCAGGTTCCTTCCTCGCTTAATCGATTAATTGTTTGGTCTAAAAATGGTAGAAAAAAAACGAGAATTGTCCTCACAGTTTCCTAAAGCCTTAAGGTTCAGTAATCTTGTGTCGTTACTAATTAGGCGACTAGTTGAGACTGATGTCAGGTTTGATGAAGCTGATTTTCTAACGTGCATCCTAATGCTGTGACATCACACAACGTTTTTAATCAAATTTGCTTCAGACGTTAGCATAACTGAAACATTCCTTGATTGCACGTAACGAGCTGCAGGGTTGAAGCGTTTCTCGTCAGGCCGTCCGTCTGTGGGAGACGTTTGAAGAGACGCGACGGGACCTTAATGTGCCTTATTAACCGCAATCAGGAACACCTCTTCAAAGAGCTATTCTCAGAATCCATTCAGACCGAGTCAGTGGCGATGTAGCCGGATTACTTGAGTTTAAAGCCATTTATTAAAAAAAGGTGTAAATGTTTTTTTTCTGTCATGTTTTTTCTGTAAAATGCAGCGTTGTTGCACTGAGAAATAAAGTGACAAACAAAAAGGAGAAATAATGTCAGATTTTTCATTTTTAATTACTTTGGATTCTTCTCTGTCTCCGTCATGGAGACGTCTGATCGGCTCCACATTCATTCTGCAGAGTTTTGTAGAAACACACTTTCAAACGTCCTCCTTCTTATCAGCTTAGTTTTTATTTCCTCTGCAGTCATTCAACTGATTACTTAGAGCCTTGAGTTCAGACAACACGTTAACTTAAACTATCCGAGCAGTGATTGAGTTTATTTGCTTCATTTTATTTATTTAATTTACCGCTGCAGGTCTTCTCAAGTCTGGTTCTAATCGAATCTGCGGCCAATCAAGTACTTATGGCTGGAACCTGAAACGTGGATGCTTCTCCTGCAAAGTCCTGACATTTATACCCAGTGTGCATTCATAAATGAACACGTTGGTCTGAGACTGTGCCGTGAAGTTCAGTAGAATCGACTTTATTCAGTCTTCGACTGCAGCGGCAGCAGCACCCCAGACTCAGAGACATCAGAACTGAAACTGCCTTCTGTCTCAAGTTCTGTCTTTACAGCAGTGCAAATGGCAAATGCTTCTGAATGACACGGGAGAGGTCGGGATGTAAAGGTACACAGCAGTCACGGTCGGGCACTGCTTTAGCTTTGAAATCATGGTTCATTATGTTCAAATGAAAACAAGAAATACAAAGAGTGACAGAGCTTTTTTAATTTAAACACAGGTTCACCCAACAGACGACGAATGTGTCTTCTCACAAAAGCCTGTTAATGTGGCAGGAAGCTGCAGCAAACTGCTAAGAACAAAAAACAAGTTTACAGAAGTAAATTCAAACCATTTGCCTCTCAAATATATAAAAAATATTCTACATTTAAATTCCAATAAGGTGCGACTTTAGAAACTAGATGTTCACCAGTCATTTGTAAGGATGGCAGCATGTTGTGATAAGCTGTGGACAGATGGAGCTCGTGGTTGCTACGACTTGCTGAAATGTGGATGAGAAGGAACTCGGTAACACGGCTTCATCACTTGCAGCGTGTATTTAAAACTGGACAACAGAGTGCGGTCTGCTGCTATAAAAACCCCTCTGCTGGCTGCTCAAAGTTGTTTAGTTTATTTGTTTTTAAACGAGCTGTTGGTGTGAAATCGTCACACGAACAGCTCGTTAAATCAACTCATGGCACTCAGATTTGGGGGCGACCACTCGGACTCCTGCCGGCTCTGCTCCGGATCCTGGCGCTGCGTCGTCTCTCAGTCGAGCTGCTGGGACGGTTCATGGTGGAGGGCCGAAGGCGGCTGCTGATTAATGCAGCTTCATCCACATCAGCAAGAAGGTCTGTTACTTCTCCATCGCTGATCTCCTCCTCCTCCATGGTGCCCTCTGCATAGAGAACATCTCTTGTAATATTCTATCAACATCTTGTTCTTTTTAAAAGCGTTCTCACTTTTTTTTTTTTCCACTTCTCCTGTTTCACTGAAGTCTTCTTAAACTACTGTTTGGGAATGGGGTCATGCAGCAAGACCTTTTATTTGTAATTTAATGACAGTGCACTCTGCAAACAAATGTTCCACTAAAACAATTTCACTCGTCACAGTTTCAGGGCGACACTGCAGCCTTCGTTTAACTCCGCCTGATCCAATTATGGTTGGTTTAAAGAAATACAACTGAGTCAGAGCACTCTTTCCCTCCTATAGAATAATAATCAAGTGCAGATATGAGATCAAATATATTTCACCATGTCGTCCTGCTTTGGGTTTATCCTTTGCATTCTGATTTTCCCATTTTTATTCTACGTGTTTAGTCCATTCGCTTTTATTCCCTGTATTTTAATGTTTGTTTTTAGCAGCACTTTGAAACTTTGTTTTAGAAAGATGCTCTCTAATTATAGGTATTATTATTATTATTATTACTAGTATGGGCTGCAAGGTGGTGCAGTTGGTAGCACTGTTGCCTCACAGCGAGAAGGTCGCCGGTTCACGTCCCAGTGAGGACACCCGGGATCTTTCTCCATGTTCTCTCCATGCACTGTGGGTTCTCTCCGGGTTCTCCGGCTTCCTCCCACAGTCCAGAAACATGCTGAGGTTAATTGGTGATTGTAAATTGTCCGTAGGTGTGAATGTGA